TATTAGGGTAATTAAATTATAAGAGTCTTGTGATTTTATATGTCATTGATTAATTTTACTTTTCTTGATAAATGCTGTATTTTAAACTCTTATAATGACTTTGATTTCAAATAAAAAAAATTCTTCAACTTTATAAGCTAGAAAATATCATAATGGTGGTTGATAAAATTCAATAATTTATCAAGCGTATTTTGCATTTCGGATGATTACTAAAGGGAGGAGAGGATTAGATGATAATACCCCCCCCCCATCTCTCTCACACACATTCTGTACAGGTAATGCACGTGTCAAATATTCTCTGTCTAGCTTGTTTTGGACACCTATCTAGGGCCTGTAAATAAATTAACTATCCGATATTGGAATTCCATCAAGAGACATTATAGTTGAAACTCAATTGCAAAAAATAAAATGTATTCTTCTTTTACATAGCAACTGACTTCAAACTTTTTTCTCCAACTTTATACGCTTGAAAATATCAAACTGATAGTTGATAAAAACTATTAATTTATATAGTGTATTTTGCATTTCGAATCATTACTTAAAGAAGGAGAGGATTAGGTGATAATATATCCCCCTCTCTCTACCAATTCTGTGCCTTAACTATAGCTTGTTTTGGACATCGAGTTAAAATAGTCAAATCAAAGTGAATGGACTAAATGTGAAGACAACGAACAGTATTTAAGCTCAAAAGTCCATTTAAATAATACAAATCAGGAGCAGAGCAAACACGAAAGTCTGAAAACATCAAGAGGTGAGATCAGGTACCATGCTGTTGTAAGCATCTCCTGTCGACCGGGCACACTCGCTCTATAGGCTCCTTGTCATGATTGGGCAAAAAGAAAAAAAATCAATGTGTAAATAATAGCCTCACAAAGTCAGTCAGCATTCGACTTAATGTATAACAAGGTCGTTGTATGATACTTGCGAAATGGTGACTTTAAACGTGACAGACATCTTAGAGGCTCTTTAAGGGAGCAAAAAATCCCGATTTTTATATTGATCAGGACATATAAAGAATATATAAAGGTGTATTAATGATTATTTTTTGTTTTGTATGATTCAATACAATATTTTCACCCAATACCGCTGAGGTGTAATGATGAACTATTTCGTTTTGTCTGTTTCAATAAAGAATATTTCCACCCGATACCTCTAAAATAGATATTTGTATGGGGTAGTGTAATTACTTTTCTTACTATCATTTAAAAACATGAGAAATATATGCAATAACTGAAGTTAAAACAATAATGTTCAGAGAAAATTCTTAATAATTACTCATAAATTTAATATACAGTCCCTGAAACGTTCTACTTTCCCATTTTTCCGTTCGCTCACCGTTCGTTCAGCGTTCGTTCAGCGTGCGTTCACCGTTCGTTCACCGTGCGTTCACCGTTCGCTCTTCGTTCACAGTTTTGCGTTCAGCGTTCACCGTGCGCTCGCGTTCACCGTTCACAAAGCGTTCACTGTTCGCTCTTCGTTTGTTCACTTTGCGTTCACCTTGCGTTCAGCGTTCAGTTATCGTTCAGTCTTTATTGCCATTCGGAACTCCGAACTGAAAGGACTTATCTTTTTTAAGTAAGGATTTACAGGTTTTAAATTTTATAGTTAACATATCGTGTTTAAAGAATCATTATTATCAGAAATACGAAAATATTTATTTCTAACACATTTTTTTTTCAAATAATACAGAAATACATGTTAGAACTAATTCTGAGGATTATAAACAGTACCATGGATATCCAGTTAATTAAATATCTTTAGAGCGAATTAAATTGATAGTGGGGATTGAAAAAAAAAATGTTTAAAACGTAATACATTATAGAATTTTTTTCTACTTTACATATATAAAGTCTTTAATTAGAGAGAGAGAGAAATGCCTTTATACATGTAACATGATTATCATTAATATAACCAAAGTGATTCTCCAGTAATGATATTTTTCACCGTATCTTTATATGTTTGCCATTCGATATGATTAAGAGCCCCCCCCCCCTTCCCTCTAAATCGGTTACTTAGTACATGTATGTCCAGTATATTTTAATTAACATTTAAAAAGAAGTTAATGTGTTTTGTAGCACAAAAAATTCAGTCTCAAAACAAACTTGCATCTAAACAAAGTCATTAAACAATAGTAATTCAAAATATACATGTGCCGGCGGTGATATTTTAAATTGGCAGGGAATATATTTCAAATTCAAGCGGTTTAATCATTCCAAGTGTTTATTCCCAATGTATTTTATTCATTTATTATTTTTTAGAAGTGTTGGAATCAGACCTAGAAATGATAAGAAAAAATGTTTAACTTAAAACTTCTTGGAAATAATAAAACTTTGCCTTCGGTGTGACGAGACGTTCACACCTGCACAGTGTCGAATGATTTTGATTGACAGGTGAAGCACGTGGACTTCGTGTCAACTTGAAGCAGGAAAATAAAAACCGATTATGACTGTAAAACAAATGGATTTTTTGATAAAAATGGTTACTTTCATTGCCTGATATATTTGGAAAAAAAATAAGATTTTTTATTTGATATAGGTACAAACATTTGAGGAAGGGGGGGGTAAAACCGAATCTCTCTCTCTCTCTCTCTCTCTCTCTCTCTCTCTCTCTCTCTCTCTCTCATTTGTCTGTTTAATAAAACTATGACAGCATATTACTTAAATATCAAGTTGTGAAAATTTAATATATAAAAAATAATATGAATGCCTCTTTGTATCATGTTGTCCGAGTATAATCACGGCCGGGAAATGTCTACAGATACATGTATAAGTCTGCTCAATAAATCATCATAAAAAAAAAAACTGACACATCAGTATATTATTGCATTAAAAATTTAAAATACTGGCGTATTTATGCAATACGTCCAAATACCTTTGTAAAATATTTTATTTTTTTTTTCTCATTTTTTTTTTTTACACGGAATCGCCTTGGCACGGATATACATGTATATATATATATATATGGTTGTTACAACCGTTGTAATTCATTCTATAAGTCCGTAGTTTGCTCTTCTAAAATCCACATTATTTATAATGATTTTATATATCAAATAAGAATAAACATATTTATTTTACAATTAGATTACTACAGCGTTTGGTAACAATTACAAAAATTTTACTTAATGTGCATGTATCGTCTTTCTTAGGACAGTTTTCATTGATTTGTTTATTTATTTATTATTCATTTATTTTTTAGCACCAGGCATACATACAATAGAATAGTTTCAGTGCAAGGAAAAGATCAGAGGCATTCCGAATAAATCGTTCATCTTGCGTTCACCGTTCGTTCACCGTTCACTTTGCGTTCGCGTTTGCGCTCCGTTCGCGTTCTGCGTTCGCTCACCGTTCACCGTTCACACATCGTTCACCAAGTTGCGTTCAGCGTTCACACATCGTTCACTCACCGTTCGCTCTGCGTTCGTTCAGCGTTCGTTCACCGTTCGTTCAGCGTTCGCTCACCGTTCAAGTGGGAAAGTAGAACGTTTCAGGGACTGTAGTCATTTTTAGCAATGATAAATGGATATTTATAAGGAATATTCTTAACTTGGGGAACATTTAGAGATAATATTTAACTTTGAAAATATTAATTACACTCACACTGAATTAGGATTTCCAGAGCCTAATTATAAATGGTCACTTGTTTTAAAATTTATACAATAAAAAAGCATAGTTCGTGTATATTACAGATACTCTATGAGTTAAAGAGACTGGAACCAAATACACCTGTAGATTCACAGATGATTTAGAGGAGCTCTTGACAACAGGCCTTAAAAAGCACAGAAAAACCATTATACAGGTCAATAGAGGGAAGACGAACCCAGTCCTTCTAAAACAGATGGAGCAGAGTTGTCTTCGTTACAGAGCAGAGAGTCATCGAGATTGTTAGTTAATTTTATTACATTTTCAACAGTGAAATACTGTGATATATTTATTGAATAAAAGTGATATTCTTTCACAGTGTGAAAGGATACCAAAATGATATTCTATCACAGGGTGAAGGGATGTCAAATAAGTAGAAAATAATTTCGGGCCTGTCATAAGATAGAGCTAGTAACTAACCATCTTGATAGAGCTAAAACGGCAAATTTCTTCCCAAATATGTTGTTAAAATCCATGCTATGTAATGTTTTCAATCTCACAACTGCTATGCTATGACGTCTCAACCGCTCAACTATGACGTCAAGCCAATGACACTGTGATAAGAAAAGACAGAGGCAAAGGGAAAATCAAAGAAAATGTAATAAACAGAAAATTCAATGTTTTGTAGATGAATATGGAATTTATTTCACGAGTGAGACAGGATTTTTTTTTATATTTTCACTCGTGCTTCGCACTCGTGAAAATATAAAAAAAATCCTGTCCCACTCGTGAAATAATTTCCATATTCATCTACAAAACATTGAATATCCTCTATATATTTCACAGTTTAACGGTTTCATATATAAAGAAAAGTTACTTTAAATAATCCTCCTGACAACGTACGCTTTATAGGTCATGCGATTTAAGGTTTCATTTGTGTGTATCTTCATCTAAATCTCAAATATTTTCATTAGATAATAAATAGATTTATGTCTGGATATGTGAAGACGATGAAAGTAAGTTGTGCCGTCTCGTTTCTTTTACATAATGCTGACAATGTATTAAAGGAGGATAATTTAAAAAGACACGAAAGACACGAAAGTATTAAATAGTTCAAAAACATATCATGAAATTTTATATATTGAGTGAAGCAATGTAAAAAATATGACTCTTGTGTTTGAAAAAAAAAATGTTCTGGAAGAAATATGACTTAACTTTTTACATAATCTTACAATGTATACGTAGTTCCAACTAATTTATGAAAATTTTATAAATGAATAAAAACCTTTCTCAGCTAATCTAAAATGCTTACTCTTCTCAATGTAGTGAAAATATTACAAGATAATTTTGTAACTGGACAATAATTTCAAAGCCTTCGAACAACGCCTTAATATATATAAAGAAATGCACATGACACATTAGTCTTGACACATAGTTTTACATCTTTTAATATACAAATACAACTGAATACATGTTAACATTGTTTTGTTGTTTATTTATTTAGTTGCTGGTGACTCTGGCAATCCTTTTCCTCTTCCTGCTGTAAAAAGAACATTTTGAATTAATGATAGAGGAAATAACAATTTGTAGATAATTTTTTTTTTCAAGCATTTGTGGGCTGGTAACATCCATTTAGGTTTTCAATATTGCATATCCTAAGCCTTGCCCGAAAAAATGATTTTGTGTTTCTAGGTGTAAAAGATGAAAGGGGAGCAGAAAAAACATTGATAAAAGAAGGGGTGTTGACAAATATTAAAATGGAATTGGAAGTTCCAAAAATATAGAATCAACTGTGTCTGTAACTATTTACCCCTGTATGGCCAATCCCCCTGCTCCCCTCAAATTCATGTCTGAAGCCTACTAGTGTTGTGTTTGAAACGAAATATATGCATCTATTGTTAATTACTGGACATGTAAACTTTTCTTGATGTTATCTTTTGTTTTCAATTCTAACCGGCTTAACAAGGTGATTTTACTTGTCAAATCAGTTAGAAATTATGGTAGTGGAATGGAGGAATGAAAATTAGTAAATTCACTAAATGCTTAGCAATATTCACTGTTGAATAATGAAGCAATATCTTACGTGTCTGTTTAGTTAAATATAACTAGTTAACAAAGTAAACTTACTCAACACAGTAGAAACTAAATTTGAATTAGTGATTGTATAGACAGTATTCTTACTTATTCTTTTTCCCAGTTTCCTTTGTGTACTTTTTTAATGTAGTCACTCCCAGTGGTCTCAAGTCCTCTATTAATCCATTACGTCGCATTCTGCTAAGAAATCTCATGAGGTAATGGATAACCAAGTTCATCCTTGTCGTTTTTTCTCTATGCCTGCAAATATGAGTTCCTTAAAAACTGTTTTGTTTAAAAAAAAAACCAAATTAAGAATTTTTATGGTTCAGTTCAACTTTTGAAAAAAGTAATATGCTGTATATGTTTGTATATCGTTGACGATGTGATGAAAATAAAAATATGGTTGAGATTCGTCTAAACTTGCAATTAATTGTCACTAATTCAGGCACGCAATTCAGCATACTTTGTACATGCCTTAACGTGCCTTTTAGATAACATGAATTTCGTAAATCTAATTATGGAGAGACGTCGAATGTGATACCATTCCGAGGAATACGTGGACCATACTGCACGACCACACGTTCACGTGCGCCCAGGATGTTTTAATCCATACTTGAGAGAATTTCTGTACGCAGAAGTTTTCAATTATGATACCTCCTCTTCCAAATTTACTGAAGATTTGACAAATTATCCTCTTGAACCAAATTCCTTAATTAAGCAATATAAGTGGACCCCTGACCAAATATAGCATATATTTATAGACAGAACCCCTGTTATATATGTACTATTCCCTTAGCCTATCAGATAGCATATGACGATTTTCCTTCAAAAATGATTTTGAAATATCACGTCAAGCTGATACGCATATTGTGACGATACAACCTATAAGACTTAAACCAAATTTTTTATCCAATCAAATAGCGCGTTATCAACTGATTTAGAATAATATTATTGAATCAATGAATGTATTAAAACTGCAAAAGGAATTGGAACATTGATTTCATGTCATTTCCTATTATACACTGTTTTTAGTATATTTTGATAGTCTTCAGGTTATGCTTAATTTATAATTTAAATTGCAAAATTGGAAATATTTACTTAGAACGGGCGGATCCAGCAATTTCCGAAAAGATTGGGTTCCATGGTGGTGCCCTCTCCCATCACAAACATGCACACTCGAACAAAGATTCACACACACGGGGAGAGAAAAATCACATTAGGTCGTGGTACAATATATGTTTGTTAAATACGTCTCTTTATTCTTTTAAAATGTAACCCCCCCCCCCCCATCCGAATGAAAAAAAAAAAAACAAACAAACACATTCTAAAAACTACCGTAGCCTTAGAATAAATTGAATTTGCAAAATTTCCATTAAATACAGGGAATAATTGTTGCGGATTTGATAAACTTGTGTTCATTATATTAACTGAATTTTTCTTAAACCTACCTGTAAGTGGGTGTAAAACAAAGAATTAATTTATTGTGGCCTTGTGCATAATCCCTTAAATGACTTATTTAAGTTAGTTCCTTCAAAAGGTGAAAAATGGTATATAGCTGAAGATCGACGGAAACTGATAACAAATTGAACCTCGTACGTTATTTTTCATATATTGAAATAAGTAGAATATTTTTGTATAACAAACATCCATAAATTAAAAAATACTGAAAGGGGGATAGTGAAGTAAAAAGAGGAAAGGAAATATGTGAGACGCTATCTATTGCAACTGTAACATGAGCAGAGTGGCGGCTGATTGAGCTGTTTTGGACCACGTTTAAAATCAAAACGGATAATTAAAACATATATTCCAGAAAACATGTTTAATCCTTACCTTTCTACCACTAGCAAGACAAATGAATCATATTCTTATAAAAATACATTTCATCTACTAACCAAACATTGTAAAAAAATTTTTTTGCTTATCAATCATATTTCACCTTTTGAACTTTTGGCTATCAGGGGTACTCTTCAGCATTCCCTTGTCATTATCAACCTTCACTGAGAGTGATGCACCTTGGAAAACAAAATACAGAAATTGTAGTTATGAAATATCGGAATAAATGCTTAAGACTAAAAAATTATATATAGTAGTCTTCTCTTAATACTGAAATGTTCAATATAGCTTCAACGTTGAAAATAAAACACGGTTAAATGATTAAGAAAACTAATATCATTTAAATAAAATCTAAATAGATAAATCTATCTTGTAAGACTTGAAAATACATATCTGTTCCTCACTTTTAATTGACCTGATCTTAAAGACATTCTATTAAACTGAATCGTGTCTTACGAAAATATAGAAAATATTTACGCTAAATAATGTTTATACTGTAAACGAACTTTAATTAGTGTGCGAGAAATATCCGCTTCTTCTGTCTTATTAAATGTACAAACAAAATTTAACTTCTGTTTCAAAATGGTCAATGAAAGGTTTAATATATCAACTTCGAAAATAAATTTATGACTCGGTGTTCAACATTGAATCAACTTTTGCTTCTACATTCATATTGCTTCCAGAAATTACCTCTTACTATCAATAAAGCTAATAATAACAGTTTTTACCAAAACTAGTGTAGTAATTTTATCTTATTTTATATTCCTAAATGACCAATTACATGTTTGGTAATTTCAGACATCTTTTAGTTTGGTAATCCTAAGAAGGTATAAAGGTTTATAGTTTCATACAAGGTTTTATTTGCAAGCTTTCCTAGTCAATTTAATTTGTAATAATATAATACGTGCTTGTTAACTGATTAAACTTATTTCATAAAGGTAAAAGTGTATTTATGAAAATGAAAATAAACTACATTGAAAAAAAAGAAGAGAAAACAAAATCCACGTCAAATGCTGATTGTCTCAAAGTTACCAAAAATACAATAAAATGATTCGTAAGTTCAACAGTCAATGTATAAAAGTTATTGTTATTACCTGATATTGTTAATAAAACAAAGATAATATATGTATGATAAATTAAGGCTTTTGATTGTTTTATTTTCACATTTTCTTCATCTTAATTACTGTTTGGATTTTTTTTTTTTTTTTTTTTTTTTTTTTTTTTTTTTGCTTAATATGCCGAATATCTCAAAGTTAGCAAAAAATACAATAAAATAGTCCGTATTTTTCTACAGACAATGTATGAAAGTAAAATATTGTTCATAAATCAATGATTATAAAGGTATGGTAAAATAAGGCTTTAATCGTTTTATTTTCACATTTTCTAGGTACTAATTACTGTTTGGATAATTGTTTTTGCTGAATATGCTGAATATTACAAAATTAGCCCCAAAAAAATCCGTACTTTCATGAGTCAATGTAGAAAAGTAAACATTGTTCATAAAAAAATATAAAGGTATGGCAAATTTGGGGTTTTAATCTTTTTTCCCCACATTTCCTAGGTCTAAACTACTGTTTGGATTAAAGTTCTTTTTTAAACTAAATTATAAAATATCTTCTTACCTTCATTTATAATGAAGATCAACAAAACAACAAGAAAGGGCTCTAAATGCATTATAAGTTTACCTACAAATAAATGATAGGAGGGAACATAATTTACACGGATAATAAAAAGTTCAGTTGCATATGCTACAATGAATTAATAAGTTTGGGAAATTAGCAATGACCATTTTAAACATTTTGGAACTGGAAATAATTGCAATTTGTTTACAGAAGATTGAAGACTTACCGTGATTTTAATACAAGTGGATATTTACCAACTCGAAATAATCTTACCTTATTTAAGACTAATAATGGATAATGCAATGATTAAGTATGCAGAATTAACTTAAATATACATACGTTTTTCGAGTAGCTTTAAAACAGAATGACGCACAATTCTTCGAAGTAATTGACACTTAACACCTGACACTCAGCTGATCCTTAAGAATTTAACTTTAGCACATCGAGTCATCTCGATCAATACATGTATACTTGTTACAAGTACTAGAATCCTTCAAATCTTTGAGACAAATAAAACCTAGCATCAAGAATATTAAAATGTTTAAAGATTCATAAGAAAAGATCAAACCTAAGAAATTTATTGGTTGCTTCGTTATCTTCACGTTTTTTATTTTACAAAGCAAATAGTAATTATGAAAAAAAAATGGATATCAAAATCTTAATGATTTTTAACTTAGGAAAAATTTTTAGAGTGATTTAAATTTGATTTAATATTCAAGAACATTCAAATTACTCTGCGTATGAACAAATTAAAACCAGGCAAGCTATTGACAAACAAGCTGACAAAACAAGGATATCAACAGTCTCGTTTGAAGTCATCTTTTCGCAAGTTTTTCTGTGGATACAATGACCTTGTCAGCACATACAACCTGTCATTGAGTCAAATGCTGACTGAAGTTTTTCATACTGATTGTTAGGCCATTGTTTATACACTAAACTGTCTACAAATATTTCCGATTTTTGTTTCCCGATCATGACAAGGAGTACACAACGGGTGTGACCGGTCGGCAGGGGATGCTCACTCCTCCATTGCACTTGATCCTACCTCTAAATTTTGAGGTCCGTGTTTGCTCTGCTCCAAATTCGTATCGTTTCATTGGACTTTTGAGATTGAATACTGTTCATTATCTTCATATTTCATTGCATCTAAATTTATCAATTTAATGTGAAAACTGTGCATTGTTTTAGTATATTTAATTTTTTTAATTTTTCTGACTCTATTATCTTAAAAGTTTTAATAAATCGGATGCAGCTGTCAGTATGGAGCATAATTATTTTATGCGAAGATGTCAGGAAATCAGTTTGGATTCTTCATTTTTATATATATATATATATGATTTATTGAGAGTACTCGAACTATATAATGCAGGTTATTTCAACATATGTATTTCAACTCTGGATATCTATATTTTTGCAGAATAACAAAATATTTACAAAGCAACAACTGCATTCTTCAGTATGATCTCAAGCAATATATTTTATGATATAAACACAAATGACTACAACATCATAATTGTTTATTAAAATTTTAGTTACATCATCAAAAGTCAGGAAGTCAGTTTTTTTTTTAAATGGACAATACAAGAGATAAATGTATTGATGCGGTTAAACTGCGCTTTGTGAATCGAAAAACATTACCTATGAATAATATTTTGAAAAAGAAGTACCCAAATAAGAACCATCTTTCTTAGAAAAAGAATTTTCAAATTTTTCCCATTTTTAGGGAAATATGGGACATTCAGACAAAAAGAGTTTGTTGATGGGAATCTTGGCGGCTAAACTTAAAGCTATATAAAATGACGTTAAATTGAAAATGCATCTGATATGCATGTTTCTAAAAATGCCTGTAAAAAAAAAAAAAAAAAAAATACATGTATGTTCTTTACATGTTTGGAAAATTTTCCTTGCATAAAGACTTCATAACAATTTTTGGAAACCGTTAGGTCGGGACATGTTTGCTGAAACACCCTCTATAAATCATGTGATTTTATAAAGGCAATAAATAACAGCAAGATACTTATCTTTTTGTTAAAGCTGAACATGATTCGTAAAAGCAATGTGTCCGCCATTTTTGTTCAGATTCTCGCTATATCTGAGGACCCCTATATAAAGGACCTGACTTGGACACCGTTCAGTATAATCAGTCGACACCGGTGTAGACGGACGTATGCTATACAGCACTCGGTAGCGACAAAAATAACTGTAATACCTCGTCTAATGCAGGAAAGTAGATACAAAAGAAACTTACAATTATAGTTGTACAGGTCAGCGCATTATACAAACAAACACAGATACCACGTAACTACAATAAAATGTAAACAAAGGTAATGCAAGATAACCAGCACGAACACGGGTCGTCATTCCACGCCGATACCCGTGACAATAAAGCAGTCAGCTGTAACGAATACGAAGAGTATACCCTGGTGTTGATGCATCGTAGATATAATATCGAAAATGGAGTATGCCTATTTACAAGTCGTGTTCAGCTTTAAGATGGAAGCTAACGGGTAAAATATTATTTTCATTGATTACCTTTGCTATTCTTGATAAATCCTTTCATATTTTTAGTCAGCGTTTCGTAAATTATATAGTCGTAATGTTAGCAAATATAACCTATAATTGGATCGTATTTTAGCTGACGTGTTTTATATTAATTGTTAGGCATTTGTTTTTGTTCAAAATGACTGCTGAATATTGTGTATACCTGATCATTACATAGGGCTCATGGCAGGTTTGACTGGTCGACAGGGGATGCTTACTTCTCCAAGGCACCTTATCCCACCTCTGGAATTTTCGAGGGTCTGTGTTTTATGACCCTGTTTGCAGATTTGTATAGTTTGTAATTTTTTTTGAAAATCGATCACTGTTTATTATCTTCACTTTTTCATTTGGATAAAAATGTGAACATTACACATTTTAAAAACATTTTATTAAGAGGATCTTGTGTCATATTATAGCAGCTCCAACTAAATGGTTTCTCAGTGAAAATTTATACGAAAGCTACATGTTCCAAAACACAGTTTTTGGTTGTATGTGTCTTCAGCTACCGTGAAATTTTATTTTACAATTTGCCAAATAAGTAATGCTATTTGTGTTTTAAACCATTTTGATTCAAAACAAGCACAAGAGTTGTATTTTTTTTTAATTCGTTTCTTTTTTGGTCGAGAAAGACCACGAATATGAGCACTTCTCTTAAGTCTTTCGCAAGAGACAAATTTTAAATAATGAAGAACCATGATGGCGTATAGTTATAATTAATAACTGTGGTAACAGTATTGATGGAGTTCATAAACTAGGGAAAAAGGTCATATAATTCCTGATGTAGACATTTTTTTTGAATTAAACACTGACTCTGGTAAAATCGATTAACTTTCTTACAAATCGTTTAACATGTGACAGACGGTCGAGTAGAAGAAAAACAAACACTTGATCTTTACACTCATTTAATTCAAGTTAATGACACCATTTTTCATCTAGGTCATATTTGATGTAATTTTCATGAGTGCTTTTAAAGTGGACGCCCGTAAAATTGTCGATGTTGTTTGTTTTGCAAAATCACCAATTATTCTCCATCAATTTCCCACCAAATGCTGGTAATCATTTATAAACAGATAATTCTCGTACAAATTCATAGAGGAATTATTACTATCAGGCCCCTTTTTATAAGGTTTGTCAATTTAACTGATATATTTGATATACATGCGAATATAAAGGAAGACAATACCCATGATGTTCAGTAAAATGTATTAAACATCTTATGAATTTTCGCGGAATATTTTTTAAAATGTCCTAAAAAATAAGGAACAGATGATGCAAACAAACTTTTATAAAAAATATTGAAAATAACAACTTAAGACATGTTTATATAAGTAAAATGAATGTTTAAACGCATAGATTGTAATTTTTCATTCAAAATTTTCCAAAAAGGGTTTAAAGTGACAAAAAATTATATAGATTAAAAAGAGTGGCTGTAGAAAGGTAGAATTTTTAACATCTTAGAAAGTTTACGATTTCTTAATATTAAAATTATTTGCATCATTTCCAACCAAAAGAGGTCTAAAAATATATACCAATCCAGGCATTCATTTTTTGTTTATATCATCTGTCCTTAATTTCTTCTTTGATAAACAATAGTCATCGTCTAGTAAGCACAGTGACATTAAAACGTACCACTCATTAAACACCTTATACAACCATACCCAATAATAAAGTAATATACAGGCTTTTTGACATCAAAGATTGGTACTTTTTCAAAGATAAAAAATGGAACTCGTAAATCTACATACCTTGTCTGACTATATGCAAAATCATTTTGTTAAAAAAATATTCTGATTGTACAAAAGTACATGTACTCCAAAGTTGATATTAAGAATATGCTTGAGTTTCAGATTAACAATATCTTTGAAGTTTTTGGAGATCAAGTCTTCCAACAATCTGTCGGAATTCCCAATGGTACCCATTGCACCTCGTTTAAGCTGACCTAATTTTGTATTCATATGAAGCAGAATGTATTTAGAAACTCTATTTACATAAAAAGAAGTTCTCTTGCTTTGGCTTTCAATTCAACACTTACATATATCGACGACGTTTTATTTATTATTCATGTTTATCCCAAAGCTAATACGTTGATTCGATATACACCTTTGAACTCAAAAAAGATACCACAAGGTCTCACACATCTGTTTCACATGTGGATATATTATGCTAGAAAAAGATGTTAATGGTAACCTAACAACAAAACTTTATGATAAACTGATGACTTCAACGTTCCTTATTTATCGAACAATATACCATTATCATAAATTATTATTATTATTATAAATAATGATTATATCTCCCAGTTTTTTTTTCGATATACAAGAGCATGCTCTACGTACGAACAGCTTCTAAAACGAGACAAGCTATTGACAAATAAGTTGATGAAACAAATTCGCAAATTCTTTGATCGATACAATGATCTTGTCAGTAAATGCTATCCATCATTAAGTCGAATGTTGACTGACGTTTTCCATATAAATTATTAGGCAATTATTTTCACACTGAATTGTCTACAGATTTTTCCGTTTGCTCGATCATAACAAAGAGCACACGGCGGCTGCGACATGTCGAAAGGATATGCTTACTCCTCAATGGCACCTGATCCCACATCTAAGTTTTTACAGCTCCATGTTTGCTCTGCTCCAAATTTGTAATTTCTGTTCTTGATTACTGTTCGTTATCTTTATATTTCATACATAGTAAACAA